TCATTTTAATTATAAATATGTATTTCAAATATACGAGGTGTTATACTATGTCCTTTAAAAAGACAAACACTAAACCCTATATATGTGTGTGTTTGGGGGAGGGGCAGGATATTCTTACACCGGTGTAAGAATAAGAAGTCTTACACCAAATCTTGATAATTGATTTACTTGTATCTAAAGGTTCAAATATTATTGAATAAATCTTTAATTGCTATGATAGCACTGAAGATTCAGTATTCCTGGTAATATGTGTGTGTGTGTGTGTGTGTGTGTGTGTGTGTGTGTGTGTGTGTGTGTGTGTGTGTGTGTGAATGATAAGAATCTTCAATCCAATAGTTAATTTTAGGGAAAACTTCATTTTCACCCATTGTGGTTTTGTGATTTATCATTTGACCTCCTGTGGTTTTAAATTTATCACTCAGACTCATTGTGCTTAAATAATTTATCATTTAACCCCTCGTTGTTTTAAACTTTCACTTAGATACCTTGTGGTTAGAAATTTTTTCACTTAGACCACTTGTGGTTACAAAAGTATTTTTTAAAAAATAACTATTTAAAATAAATGTTCTCTCTTTTTTATTTTATATCCTCACCTAATGCATTTAGGGTTTAAAAAATAAAAATGAATTTTTAAAAATTCACTTTTTTTTATCAAGAAAATAAATTCAATTCAAATCAAATATTATTTTATTTTATCTATTTTTTACCCTATATCATTATAAAATTATCTAAAGAAAGTAAATATCTTATTTTGATAATACAAATTTAATTTATCTTAAATAATATTTTTTTAATTTCAAATATATTTAAAAAAATAAGATAATTTATAAATTAATTTAAGAATAAATAACTTGAAATATTTTTGAAACCATAAATACATTACACGAGGATATAAAATAAAAAAGAGGGAAAATTTAATTTTAAAAATATTTATTTTTTAAATCACAAGGTATCTAAGTAAAAAAAATTGTAACCACAAGGGATCTAAGTGACAATTTAAAATTATAGGGGGTTAAATGACAAAATATCTCAGCACAGTGGGTCTAACTGATAAGTTTAAAACCACAAGGGGTCAAATGATAAATCACAAAACCACAGTGGGTGAAAATGTAGTTTTCCCTTAATCTTAAGATAAATTATCCAACTAAAAGTAATGAAGCACTATAAGCACTATAAGAGTGATTTTGAGTTACATCCGCATAAAATGGTCTTGATCGAATTTTGATTATTGATTTGCTTGTATCTAACGACTCAAATATCTAATAATTATGATCATAAGATATAAATAGAATCAATAATTAAACTTAAAAGAATCTAATAGTTAATTTTAAGATAAATTATCCAATTAAAAGTAATGAAACACTGTAAGAGTGATTTTGAGTTACAACCACATAAAATGATTTTGACTAAATCTTACATAATTATTTATTTATATCTAATGATTTAGATATATAATAAATGGGGTTTATACTTCTCCTTTCAAAGGAGAATAGCCTTCTTATGTTATAGATACATTAATGGCGGAGCCCACTTTAATTTTTTTTCTCTCACTTCTTTCCCTTCTCTCTCTCTTAATTATTGTGTCAGCTGCAAAATAACAACTTCTCCACCAACATGAGAAGTTGTTATCCCATAATAAATTGTAACTACAAAATATAAATAGAATCAATAATTAAAATTAGAAGTATAACTTATATCAATATAAAATGATTTTTAATTTTTTTGTTTTTGTTTTGTATCTTACTTCGAGTCAAAAGTGGACCCAAGTTTCCTAGCCAGTCCAATAACTTATTATACAAAAGTAATTATTGGGTTGTGGTTGACAAAGTCTTTCGCTTTTGGTCTCTCTCTTTTTTCTTGCATAAGGGGAAAGGGTTATATTTGCCATTGTACTTGTGAATGACTGTTATAAAATTAAATTAGAAACATAGAGTACGATAAATTGTTCAATCATATAAATTTAGTTTTTATCCTCTGAAAATGTAAATATTGTTGTTATTTCAATAAATTTTATGGTTGAACTTATTTAAAAAGTAATTAGCATATGTTATTAAAAGTAAATAATTTTAAGGGAAAATCACTTCTTATTCAACTGGAAAAAATGAGATCTTCTGCTATAGACACAAATTTTGAAATGAAGTTTATTATTTAATTAAAAATAAATAAATAAAAGAAAGTACGGTTCCCCATGAGTCTGTTGCAAAAAATTTGATCTTATGTTGAATGAGAAGTTTAAACCCCTAATTTTAATTATTACAAAAACAGAGTGGGAATTCATGCTAATATATTATATTAATTCTCATTCAATATCATCTACCAAAATGGGAAAATATTTGTACGGGGAATAAATCTTTAGTGGTATGGTAGCACTGAAAATTCAGTATTACTAATATTCATTTTATAATACATAGACAAAAAATATTATGTCATCTTAAAAGAAGAATATTAAATGACACTTGAAAAGATGATATGATATTTTGTATAGGTTCGCTTTTTCAGCAGTTACTGCAGATAAATTATCTGCAGTAAGCCCAATACGACGTTATTTTGAGACGGAAATCATAATATTTTTATAATTTTAATTTATTTTAGGATTATTGTAGTCTTTATAATTATAATTTTTTAATGTTTTAATCCCAAAACGACGTCGTTTTGAAAATAAATGCAGATAATTTATCTACAGTAGTAGAAATATTTTTCTGATTTTTTATTCATATCATAAAATGAATGACAGTAATACTACCATAACACTAAAGATTTATCCTTGTATGGGAGTATCAACTTAAACCATCGCAATAAATCTTATATCCATAGTCAACAGTTGGTCGTATTTATATCTAATTGTGAGAATTATATGAAAATGAGATTAGTAATTAATTATAAGTATAAGACTTACAGAAATTGGTTTGTACATAAGTATAAGTGAAATCACATAGAGCTTACTGATTTACCATGATTTCCATAATCAATTTAATGAGATTTTCGTTAATAACAAAATCAATTAATTTTTATTAATAATAAAATAAAGATATTTGATTTATCATTATTTGCACTAATAATTAAGGTTGAAAGTGGGTCGGGCCGGCCTAGTCTATATCAGGCCGGGCTTGGCCTACTATATATAGTCAAATAGAACATGTCCCGGTTTTTAAAGAAACCTATTTAGAAAGTAGGTAATAGGCTTTTTTTAACATACCGGGCCTACAAGCCTACAGGCCGGCCTATATCATATTATTTATTTTAAATTAAATAAAATAAAATTTATTTTTGGCTATTACAAGCATCATGATGTATTTGTTGGATTAATGTGGTTATTTCAATTTACATAGTATAGATTTATTTGTTGGATCTAATGAGATATATGTTATTTAGTTTGAACATTTTGCTTTTGAAAGTGACTTAAATACAGATTGTGATAAGTTTTGTTGTGATTAATGATTCTGTTTTGGACGTTGAAATTGTGAATTTTGTTTTACCAACAAAATTTGAGTATTTTGTAAAGTTGATTCATGGTTCTGCTTGGAAGTTAAAAATTAACAGGCTTAATGGGCCAAGTCAGGCCACATGTTTTTTATAAACGGGCCAAGCCAGGCTAACAGTTAGACTCGTACTGGCTCGGGTCAGGTCAAATTAAAAAATTTTGGCATATGCTTGAACTTTTCGGGACAAAGCTCGGTTCAGCCCAGCCCACTTTCACCCCTACTAATAATGCAATCAAATAATTTTTTTAGTTATTGTTAATAATAAAAAATCCAATTTTCTATTGTAACGGTTAATGGAATCAATCAACTTTTCATCAGCACGAATCATGCAAAAATTTAATATCCAGTTATTTTTATATTTTTTTTGGTAAATAATATCCAGTTAATTTTAATTTCAACACTAACAATAATTTTTTCATGATTCTTATTAAAAATAAAAATAAAAATATAAAATAAAAATAAAACCCTTAATAAATTAAAATTTTAAACACTTATTTTTTATAATTTGTTAAATTTTGAAATTTATAATTTGATGTTCCAAACTAGCATTACTCCGGACGTAAAAAAAGAAATAGTAATATATATTGTTTTAGGGAAATACAATATTAATCATCATTTTAGGTGTACCTCTCTTACTACTTATTTCGTTATCGTTGGATTAATTTGAAATCAACTATTCAAAAAGAAAAAAGATAGCTATAGTTGATTTCGAATTAATCTATGATAAGTTGCTAACCAAATCAATAATAAAAATAATAAAAGCGATAAGTCTAAAATGATAATAAGTATAATTGCTTCGTTGTTTTATTTATGTTGTATAAAATAAGAAAAAAAAGTATTTATCTTTTTAAAGGCCAGTTATTTTATTTAAAATTATTATTATTTATTGAATATTTAAATTAAAAAAAATTCTTACTTTTTCTCACCATTATTTCTATTTATCTCACCATGAAACACAATAGTTGATTAAAATGACATAAATAAGGGATATTGTATACTTACCATCATTTTTTTTATCTCTTATTACTGCCAATCTTGTTATGTTTAGATCAAAATCAAATTAATGACTCTCACATGATGTTACTTTATAACTGTTGATTTGATTTTGATCAAACGGTTTGTAAGATTGGTAGTCATGAAAAAATAATAGTTAACCTCCCAACTATTTATTTTAAAATGTTTTTAAAATAACATTGTCATTATTTAATCAACTTTAATTACAATGATATCCCTACACTTCTGTGATCATGACAATTAAAATTAAAACGTTATCTAAAATCTAAAAGATATAAAATTATTTTGTTTAAAAAAAATCATAAAATCATAAAGTTATAGATTTAAATCTGAATTTTAACTACCATATCTATCCATAAGTAGTGACAACACATTAAAAAAAGGAAAAAGAAAACAAACAGTCATTGAAACTTATATATATTGGAGCCGAACAGGCAAAATCCTAAAGCCGTTTTTTTTTTTTTTCTTTCATCAAATCCTCGCCGTTGTTGTGGTCCTAAAGCTATGGTTGTGAACGAGAGACCCTTGAAGAGGACAAAGAGAATCGTCGCCGCCGATCCCTATGATTTTCTTACCTTTCCGGCTGCCGCCGGCGAACCCTTTCGGACAAGTGTTCAATGCTTCCTCTCTAACCACGCGCGCCTCACCCTCCCTCCCTCGCTGTTTCCCTCCCTGGTGACGTGGCAGATCTTGTTCCGGGTAGGATCTGTCGTCGGCGGGCCGGATCTGTCGCCGGCGGTGGTCGCCTTAGACATCGTTGAGGAAGACGTAATTCAGTCTCGAAACTCGGTCTACTGCGACCAGTGCCGAGTCATTGGTGAGTCGACTCACTGAGTCGGTAGCAACACAAATAATAAAAAGTAAAAATAAAGAGAAATCATATTATTCCCAAAAAAAAAAATTATCTTATATTAGCTATTATAACTAGTACTTTTCCTGAAAAATTGTCAGTTGAAATGAATAGAAAAAAAAATTTAATATTATAATTATATATATTTTTTTGAATAAAACAGGATCCTAAACCAAAACCTTGTATTGAGACATAAAATTACCGAGCTGAGTCATGGAATGAATTAGCGATGTGATGATTTAATAAGAGTAATTTTTTAAAAAAAATTTAAATCTTAACTTTAGTTCTTGAAAAATATAACATTGAATATTGTTACATTATTACGTTTTGAAAGACAGAGACCTGAAAGCCTGCGTTACACGGACACGCCAATTTTTTTCAAATTTACGTGTCGGACACGTGTCCGACACGGACACGTTCCGACACGCGGTCAACATTTGGGGACACGCGGTCAACTCTCCAACACGTTCCGACACGCGGTCAATATTTAGGGACACGCGGTCAACATTTGGGGACACGCTCGGACAAGTTTTTTTTTGTTTTTTTTTATTTTTTTATTTTTTTAAATCTTAATTTTATTTTGTTAACTAAATAAAAAGAAATAATTTATAAATTATTTTTTTTCTGTTATAAAATTTGACATTAAAAATTAACAAACTACGAAAAATTATTTATATTTATATTTATGTTATGAAATTTAAATATTTAATTGATTATATGACTTATTATGGACTCTTATATGTATTAAATATAAATCATATTATATATATTAAAAATTTTATTTAATATCTAAACGTGTCCCAACGTGTCCAAATATAACATTTTTTAAAATTAACGTGTCATCGTGTCGTGTCGTGTCCCGTGTCCCGTGTCCGTACATCATAACTGAAAGCCACTAGGATTAACTGGTAAGGGGATGGGGATTGAGTAGGATTGTATTAAGTTATATATTTAATTTTTATTTGTATTAGAAAAAAGACAAAGGCCTGAAATCTTGATTTGCTTAGCGGAAATAGTTTTTGATTAATTTGACTATTTGTTTATTTATTTTTTAAAATTCACGTTAAAATTAAAAGAATTAAACAATTTAGATTAAATTATTTTTATTTGTAGCAATTAAAAACAGACACAAAAGTTGTGAGGGAAAAGAGGAGAAAATAAATGAAACATTTAAGGATTTGTTTTTTCTAAAGTTACTTTAGATAACTTTATCTAATGTTCATTGAAATGACGTCGTTTTGGAACGGAAATCATTGTATTTTTGTAATTTTAATTTATTTCAGAGTTATAATAGTCTTTATCATTATAATTTTTTAACCTCAAAACGACGTCGTTTTGATGAACATTAGACAAAATTATCTAAAGTAACATCATAAACTTTTTTTCCAACATTTAATAAGCTAAACTTTTATGGATGTTTGGTGGATAAGGTTTTTCTAACGTTTGATTATTTTGTTGGATTTAATAAAATAAAAAAAGGGTGGAGTGGGAATCCTGTGTGCCGAAAGCGATACCATTTCATAATAAGGGCTCATTCAAGTAATGCCATTGAACCTTATCAACGACCTTGTTCAAGATGTTCCAATCTTGTTCAATTATCTGAACAAAGGTGTGTTTCAATTCAAGAATTTTTTATTTTATTTTATTTTATTTATTTGTTTGTTTGGCCATCTTTTTTATTTTTGAATGCAGAAATAGTTAGTTTTGATTTAATTGAAATCTTGGCAGGTGTAAATGGTGTAACAATGCAATTACTGCTGATGAAATAGAGAATTTGGTGTATCTTCAAATTGAGGATAACACTCATCTTCTACATGGTGTTGTTCATTCCAATGGTCATGGTCATCTGCTTACACTTAATGGAAGAGAAGGTGGTTCAAAGCTTCTATCTGGATCAGATATTTTGGGTTTCTGGGACGCGCTTTGTGCTACACTTTCTGTTAGGTATGAATCCTTCAAAATTCTCACGCTTTTTGCACCCCAAAAAAGAAAAAAAAAGGAAGAAAAGCTCTTTTACAATTTTGATTGCATTTTAGTGAATATTATGTTTGCTATCTTTGAACAGGAAGGTTAGTGTGATGGATTTATCTAAAAAATTTGGGCTGGAATATCGATTGCTTCACGCAATCACGAAAGGGCACTCATGGTTTGGCAATTGGGGTTATGAATTTGGTACTGGAAGCTATGCTCTTACTCAAGATATTTACCAGAAAGCAGTGAATACCTTATCATGCATACCTTTGTCCTCTTTCATGTTCTGGGGTCGAGGGCCTCAAAACCACCTGCAGTCTGTGATATTTCTTTACCAATCTTTGGCAGATAATGAACTTTTAACAATTAAAGATCTCTTCTCATTTTTGTTGACATTGATTCGCGAATTCCGCAAGCCCCTGATGACAAAAACATCTGAACAACATGAATGCACCAGCACTTCTAATGTATCGTGTGCTTGGAGTAGTCGTGATGTTGAAGAGGTGCAAAAATCTTTCATCAAGGTGTTGCTTGCATCAGGTGCCTATAGTGAGGACAGATGGGTTAGCGGGCGTGCTCTTAAGGGTGCAGTGTTTAAAGGGGTTGCATCTCCTAAGCTTCTAAATTATAGTCTCAAGCACTTAGGAGGGAAATTAGCTGCCAATGGCATGGTAGTTCGTTCGCAATGCAACCCAATTTCTATGGCCGTGGAGTTCAGGTAAGAGTGGAAATATACTTATATTTTGCCTTTTGTCAATTGCTTCTATGAAAACATAATATAATTATGTTTCTCATTCATCCTTAACAACCAGGCTTGAACCATTGAGTATTGTGCAAAAAGGATTTGGTACAAATTCAAGCTATCCATCTGAAGAGCAAGTGATATCTGATATGAGATTTTTATTTGATTCAATTATGAACCCTGATGAAATGGTTAGCAACGGACATCCGATTATGAAGAAACGGGTTGCGGATTCAGTAAGGAAGCTCCTAGACTGTAAGCAATTTATGAAGGATTACAAGCTTGAAAAAGTGGCAGTGGAAAAGCCTTCAGTCATTAGGTTGTGGTGCAATGTGGAGCTTTCTGATCAGCCTAAAGATGATCCATCCCCACCTCCAGAGCTAATCATTTTGCCTTTGAATGCTACTGTTGCTAACCTCAAGAGTGAAGCCACTAGTGCTTTTCAAGAAGTATATGTAATGTATAAGAGATTTCAAGCAGAGAAACTCCTAGGATATGGATCAGTCAGTGATTCGTTAACCCTAAAATTCCTTCTTGGAACAAGTGATTCTGTCCAAATTCAAGGTAAATGCCTGGCCAAATATAGGCTAAACCGATTTCGAATGGAAAGAGGAACAGAGACATGGGAAGTTGATTGCTCTTGTGGGACTAAGGATGATGATGGAGAAAAAATGTTAGCATGTGATACCTGTGGTGTTTGGCAGCATACCAGATGTGCTGGAATTGATAACTCTGACGCTATTCCTTCAAAGTTTGTGTGCTTGAAATGCCTCAACTCGTACCGGAAGGAAGCCAAAAAATTTCCAATCACTGATGTGGAAGCTAACAAGGCTTGTAAATTCAACACAACCTGCAGAGGTCAAGTAGCTGGAACTGATGATCCTGTAGGTGCTTATAACATGACTGTAAATTTTAGTGTACGTTGATTGTATAGCTTGTACATCTCTGTATAGCTCTTAGTTGTTTTTGGCTAGGTTTTTTCATTATACCAAGAGGGCCAGGAGGTTGTCCAGTGTTTGCGAGCCTCTGATTTTTGATAGTTCAAGCTCTTTCACTTGTTTTGTTTATTACTGAAAGGGCCTTTCTCTACCATTTTATGTTTTATGTTTTATGTTTTTGGAAGTTATACGATACAAATCTCAATGAAATAATGGTAGCTTATTTGAAGTCTTTCAATTAAGTCCTCAAAAGAAAATTCAAGACAGGTTTGGTAACTGGAATAGGTTTATGAGATGACTCAGCAACCTTTCGTATACCAATTTGCAATGTCAATTTTTCCAGTAGTTACTTACCTATTCGCCATGTATTAAGGCTTTGTTTGGGAATTTGGAAGGGAAGGGAAGGGAAGGGAAGGGGAAGGAAAGGAAAGGAAAGGAAAAGGATTTTAGGGGAAGGGAAAGAAAATGAAGGGTATTCCTTCCCTTGTTTTGGAGTTAAAAAAATGATAAGGGAGAAAAATAGAAGGTTAAAGAGATAATTTCACCATTTTATCCTTTCTTTAAAAACTAATATAATTTTTTTTCGTCTTTTGTACAATTCTAATAGCTTTCAAATTTAATTAGGGAAAATCAATTGTGTTCATAAATTAATAAACAAAAACTAAAATGTGAGAATCAAAAAAATAAAATAAAAATGGCCCACTCCCTTATTACTTTTGGGTTGGACTAAAATCAAAACTAAAAAAAGGAAAAAGAAATATGTACTTAAAAAAGGAAAGAAAGAAAATCCTAATTCATAAACCCAGAGAATGAGAAGGTGGAATCGTGAAGCAAAACGGGAACAACTTGCAGCGGTAGCGTGAATGGCGCAATAAAGAAGGAGACAATGCAACACAACATGGTGGTGTTTGTGGTCACTCGCGCGCGCGTCGATTTTGGATAAGAATGGTTGATGGCGCTTGACGCCATGGGTCTGGTATGGTGGTCAGAGAGGCGATACTGACGACATGGTGGAGCTCGTGGTGGTCGGCGGCTTGCGGTGATGGTAGCGGTCATGTAGGTTTGGTTTATGGTGGTTGGAGTGCACATTAAATTTCAAGAACAAGAAGGGGTTTGGAGAGTTTTGTGAAAATTCCCAATTCTTTCCGCTCACTTTTTTAAACTCACAAACAAGGGAAGAGATTAATAAAACCCTTTCATTTATTTCCTTTCCCTCCTAAAACTAACTCCCAAACAAGCTCTAAGTGGACAATCCCTGCCATCTATCTATTTTCCTCTTAATCCAACTGCTAAAATATGCATATCTTCTTGTATACCACCCTTTTGACAGATCCAACATTGAATGCATGGAAATAATAGGGATTGCATTTCGGGTTGGCACAACACGAACATGAATACACATAGCACAAATAAGACAAATTTGAAATTGGGTTAAAATTTTCGACACAAATGCGAATAACTTATTTTGCTGGTTGACACTATAAGACACGAATAACCTGTAAACTCAGTCGCATATTATGCAGACTGATACCACACAACATGAATAACTTGTCAACCCTAAACTATTTTGCTTATTATGTGGATCGATACGACGCAACATGAATAATTTGTTTATGACATGACACGACACAAATATCCTGTACAAAGATTGACGTAAGTCAATTTCAAGTTCTCTGGTTGACATTCGACATGATATGAATGGATTTTTTCTAGTTAGTTTTTGCCAACACAAACCCTTACACGAATTTGAAAAAGGGTTGACCAGATCATGAATTTTTTGTATCGTGTTAAAAATTTCCACCCTTAGGAAATATTAGATTATTGTGAGATGTAAGACAAAAGGTTTTCTGATTTGATACTATTTAATTTACACATAAAGGGTATATTTATACAAGAGCAAATGACAAAAAAGGAAACAAATTAAAATCCCTATTAAAGAAAAAAATAAATCTCTAATTAATAGGCTATAAGTCAGAGATATGATTGCATCCCAATTAAAAACGGAAAGATTCTAATCCTAATTCTCTACACTCCCCCTCAAGTTGGGAGGTGAATGTTGATCATTCCCAACTTGCCAATTTCCAATTTAATATTGGGTTGGACTGGAGTCTCTGCTGGCTTGCACTCAAGCATTCCAGTTTCTTGTAATAGATCTAGAATATATTTCTTTTGAGTTAAAGAAATTCCTGCCTTATTTCGAGCAACTTCCATGTCCAGGAAATATTTGAGAAATCTAATATCCTTCTGTTCAAACTGATTAGCTAAACACTTTTTCAAAGAGCTTATCTCCTCATAATCATTACCTGTGACAATTATGTCATCAACATAAACAATGAGAATAGCAATTTTACCACTACTAGAGTGTTTTAAAAATAAAGAGTAATCAGTCTGAGCTTGGAGGAATCCTCTTCCCTTAACAGCTTGAGTAAACTTCTCAAACCACTCTCTAGGGATTGTTTAAGGCCATAGAGAGACTTCTTCAACTTGCATACAGAACCATCTTCTTTTTCAAAACTAGGTGGTGGATCCATATAAACTTCTTCATGTAAATCACCATTCAAGAAGGCATTCTTTATATCTAATTGTTGCAAGGGCCAACCAAGATTGACAACAAGTGATAAAAGAACTCGGATAGTGTTAAGCTTGGCAACAGGTGCAAATGTCTCCTGATAGTCTATCCCATGAGTCTGAGTGAATCTCTTAGCAACCAATCTGACCTTATACTTGTTGATGCTATTATCTGCATTAAACTTTATTGTGAACACCCACTTGCAACCTACTGCTTTCTTTCCTTTGGGTAATGTTACAGACTCCCAAGTTCCATTTTTTAGCACATTCATTTCTTCAAAGACTGCATTCTTCCATTTTGGATTATCAAGTGCTTCTTGGATATTTTTGGTATTTTTGTATTGTCTAACATTGTGTTGAAAGCACGGGGACAACTTTTCATACGTGATATGATGAGAAATAGGATGAGCAGTACAAGATCTAGTACTTTTTCGAAGAGCAATAGGAACATCTAGGTTAGCTGTATTAGTGTTGCTGGAACTAAGACTCGAGTCAGAATCCTGGCAGTCTAAAGGCTCCTAAGGTGATTCTCGCCTGCTGTAAAATTCCCCCATTTACCAGGAGGATCTCCATTATCTGACACATTAGCTCCGCTTGTCTTTTGCATAATGACTCCCCCTGTCTCCAACGGCAAAGGCAAAACAACATAATTATTTGGTTTCCAAGACTTATCTTCATCTACCCCAATAGACTCCCCCTGAAGAAAAGTCGACGGAAAAAAAGATTGTCTCTCATCAAATGTGACATCCAATGAAACAAAGACCTTACGAAGAGAAGATGAGTAACACTTGTAGCCTTTGGCTAGGAGGATATCCTATGAAGACACATTTAATAGACTTAGGATCGAGCTTGAACCTTTGATGAGGAAGAATATGTACAAAAACCACACAGCCAAACAACTTGGGAGGAAGGGAAGAGACTTGGTATTCTTAAAAAAATAGAGAAATCGGTGAGCCTGAAAAGAAGGAAAGGTGTGGGTAAGACTAGATAAAGAAGATTGAAAATTTAGGACACAAGAAGGCATCCGATTGATGAGGTATGTTGCAGTCAAGACAGCTTTCCCCCGCAGATATTTAGGGACATGCATGATAAATATAAGAGTTCGAGCAACTTCAAGGAGATGTCTATTTATTCTTTCAGCCACCCTATTTTGTTGAGGAGTGTTAGGACAAGAACTTTGATGAAGAATACCATGCTGGATGAGATAGTTTTCAAGAACATAATTAAAATATTCAGTACCATTGTCAGTTCGAAGAATTTGGATAGAGGTATGGAATTAAGTTTGAACCAAAGCATGAAAGTTTTTAAAAGTGAATGCAGCATCAGACTTATTCTTTAGAAGGTATACCCAACATACCCTAGAGTGATCATACATGGAAGTTATAAACCAACGAGCACCAGAGATATTTTGTTTGACGGGCTGGACCCCATTTATCACTATGAATCAAGGTAAATGGAGAAGAATCATGATGTACTCTAGGGGGATAAGAAACACGAGAATGTTTTCCAAATTGACAAATATCACAAGAAAAAGAACTGGGATTTATATTGATAAATAAGTTTGGGAACAACTTTTGAAGATAAATGAAATTTGGGTGTCCTAACCGATGATGCCACAACGAAATATCATTACAATCATTAGACAAACATACCGAGTGGTTCACAATTTTTTTCTTCACAAGGATCTTTTTCAAAATAATAGAGCCCTTCTTCCTCTCTAGCACTACCAATCATCAGCCCCGAGTCCTGTTCTTGGAAAACACAAGCATCGACATAAAACTTGGCAACACAATGTAACTCAGAGGTAAGTTTGCTGATAGAGATGAGGTTACAAGTAAGAGAGGGAACATGAAGGACTGAGTTCAAAGTAATGTGTTTAAAAAGTTTAATGAATCATTTTCCAACAATAGTAGAGAAGCTGCCATCTGTTGTTCTTAGTCATGACTGTTGATAAAAGGGGTATAAGAAAAAAAAAAGGTTACATTACCTGTCATATGATCAGAAGCCCCTGAATAAAGAATTCAACGACTACTATTATTAATTTGGAATGTCATACCGTGTTGAGCAACATTGTAGGATGGAAATTTACTTTCAATCAAATTGGTAGCTAACATATCCAATTCGAACACAGTGGAAGCTAAGGCATGGGACATGATACTCTCTGAGTCATCCAAGGCAGCAAACTTGGAGTTTGATACAGAAATAGCAACAGAAGTGGAACTGATTCGCGCCCAACAGTAGCAACAGTCACTCTTTAAGTTGTTTTTTTTCTTGGATAGCCATAGTTCGAAATAAACATGGTCTCCAATCATTGATCTGAGCCTTTATACAAATATGAAAGAGGGAGACGAGCTGAAGGAGACCTCTCCGAACCGGAACAGAGCAATGTAGGGAGGCGCGTGGCATGCATATGTTATAGG